ACAGTGACAGTCTTGCAGATTGCAAGCCGCGGCCTAGAAGCCGTACAGATGCGCCAGGCGCTCCACGTCGAAGATCTCGGCGATGACCAGGCTGAGCAGCCCCGTTCGCGCGCCCGAGGACACCCCAAACAAGATGGCGAACATCACAAACTCCACAGCTTCCTATCGATCAGAGGTGATGTGAAGATAAAGATTGAAGCTTTGTGTTCTTTCCTCTTCTGAGGTTAGGTTTAGCGGGAGGAAGAATCTGTAAAACAATGCCCTGGTCCTGGCAGAAGGCAAGCCATATCAACGACCCACCCTGGATCATGACCATGCCGCAGAAGACCCAAGAAGGTGGGCCCAAGGCCGACAACCTAAGCCCCAAGCGGTTTAGGGTTTACAACAACCAATGTGAGCATGAGGGGTCTTGGATAGAGAGACTAGTAGCAGAAGCGCTTGCATAGTAATTCTTGGCTGGGAAACTACTTTGTTTGTTCGGTTATGGTCAGTTGCCTAATAGGGGGACCCCAAGTTACAGACCCCAAAGTACCGTAATCAATCATTATTATGGGGATCTCTAAGAGAGTATGACTAATTTCGGGAGACCCCCTCATTGAAGTACCAAAAAAAAGCACGCTGCGGCATCCCAAGCAACAAACCGCCACTCAGCCTTCCCACCGTGCTTGCTATGCCCATCGTGGACATGAGCATGGGAGCCGCTTCGTAGCCTCTGACTTTGCGTGCGTAGAAAACTAGGTGTGTGTTTGGCACCGTGAAGCCCATCATGTAGAGGATGAGAGCTGTGCACAGCAGCAAGAAAGCCTTCTCAGACAGTGGCTGGAAGAGCTCCTTGAGCAGCTTCAAGCTCGATGATGCTTTCTTGGCTTGGAGGCCTGCATCATCCTGCATCTGTTTCGTGATTGTCCTCATCACCAAAATGCAAGGCACCACAGCGGAAGCGCAGAGCAGCGCACAAAAACGTTGCGCATCGCGCCATCCAAAGTGCCTCAGAAGGACCCCCAGCACCGCGTTAGCTGCCATGGCCCCCACGCCACCTCCTGCCGAAGCGATCCCAACAGCCACGGCCCGGCTCCTAGGGTTCATCCCCACGTCATACAGAATCATGGCCCCAGGCGTGAATAGTATGGACAATGACATGCCGTTGAGGAAGCTGAAGCTGAAGAAGAGCCAGTAACCTCAGGGTTTAGGCCTTAGGGAAGAACGTAATGGAAACCGTCTCTCAATTCATGCTTCTTGCTATGCTCTTTGACCGGCTTCAGCGACCACTATAGTAGATCTGCATGTGAACTTGGTACATGCGAGTATTCATGGAAGTTTTATGCATAAGATTATGTAACTCAAGTTCGAAGGGCAGTTACAACCCATGTCCAACTCACCACGCGCAGCTTGCCCTTTCAGCTATGACGCTGTTTGGAACGATGCTATCCAACAACTGGCCGGAGATCAACATCAGGAACCTCAAGCCAAGAGAACCCTGGGTTAAGGGGGGTTACATCGGGATAATGGCAAATAAAATGGAAACTATTATTTAGATTTTAAGGTTTAGGGTTTAGGGTGTTTAGACCCCCAAAAAAACGAAAGGTTTGCCCGGTCAATGGTCTCCGGACCGGAGGCCTGAAGAACCAAGGCATTATGGAGCGTCTATGCCTGACTTTGGCTTTGGATGGGGCATATTCGACCATAACCAAGATTAGAATTCGAAGGGCAATACGGAACAACATTCCGACTCATTTAGGTTCAGAGGTGCGTGATGACGCGATGCTTGTATTTCGGATAGTAATGCTGGAAGGGGTCTAGTCTGCTTGCATAGAGTGGGGATACACCCCTCGTACGATGAGATTTGAACTGCGATTCTCTGAGATGTCTACCCAATGAATAAGCACCCTGCACCCCAAACCCTAGCTCCCAAACATCTATCAATTTTTAGCAGCCCAGGCGCCCCAGGATCAACATGTGAACGTGGCCCATCCTTCAGAAGTCATGTAGGGTCCGCAGGGTTTAGGGTGCGTTCTCTCCAGGAAAGTGGGTGGTGATAATATGTAATACGGGTACCATGTGTTCGTAGTACTCTGAGCTGCCTTACTGAAAGCGCCCGCACGAGAGGATCCCTCGCTACCAACTTCGATGGGATGTTGACTTCGATGGGATGTCTATAGGGTTTAGGGGCAACTGTTCATTCCAACACACAGAAATGCATGTCTCCACAAATAAAGGGACCCAATATATATAACCCATAATATTATAATCCTTGTTCTAGGAACCCCAACAAGCGACTCTTAATCGCTGCGAAAAATCACTTTCTTCTTAAGGGGGAAGTCCTGCAGTGCTTAAAGTTTCTTGAGAGTGCTCTATGTGGCATATAAGGAAACAGATGTGTATATATATATATACATACATGCATATCTTACACAGGTTAGACGTATGTTTGTATGTGGCTTCTCCCCCGAAAGCGTCTTCCATACCCAAAATTACTAGATAACAACCCTGGGGCCACGCCCACCTTCCTTTACATGCTGCTTGCGGTTGCTCTACGAGCTACAACTTACTGGTTCTTAGAAGGGAGTAAGGGAACAGAATCCCTTTTTTTTGCTACATACTATTCTCTTCCCGTATTCCTTATAAGAACCAGTAAGACACGTAGCTTGGAAACCTGAACCTGATCTGCAGTCGGCTCATCTAGCCCTTCACCGCAAGACTCTGCCATGCTGGCTTGCTGTGAAGGGACTCAAACTAAATTACTATAACAAGGACACCCTATTCTGTATTACATACCCATATGACGGAAACTTACATTAAGTTCCTTAACAGCAACCCAGTCATACTCTGACATGCGCTATAGTCTAAACTCCTAGCATCGCCCTGAATAACCCCTATAGAAGTCCCCTGTATAATGCCCTACATAAGCCCCCTTTACTCAGGCCGTCTGGCGCTCGGACGAGCAGTCTCAAGGGATGACAACTTGAATCAAAAGCCCTGCAATACCAACCAGGTTTAGGGCACCCCTTAAGTAGATAGAATATGGGGTATATGGGGATCTTACTATAATGTACCCCAAGCCATATTCTATCTACTTAGGGGGGACTGAAGGGTAATACTGGCCCAAAACCCTAAGAGTTGTGCAGCAGGACAGTATTCTACGTACTTTGGGCGTCCAGGCCCAGTCCTTTTCAGGGCAAATCCAGCAATGGCACCCCCTGCACTGAACAGCCCGTCGCGGATTGAGCCGATCCTCGGAAGAGGCTAGGACTACTAAGCCCTCACCCATTAACACTGTCTTTAATAAGGATCATCTTAACCGCCCTATATGGGTGCTTGTCAAAGTTATGGCCCCTTTTTTGGGCACCCTGAATATTAGGCATTAGGTGCCGTACTATAGTAGGGATCCAAAAAGGGGACCATAATTTTGACAACTACCTATATAGTTGTATCACAATTTGTGGCAAGAAGATCCATGGGACATCCTCATGTGCAGAGGGATGTGCACTGTTTCGGAATCCTGAGACCTAGCTGGCCGGCCATGCAAGAAGGGCTCGTTCTTCGAACACCGATTTTCTGGCTTGGCATAAGGATGTATGTGGGAAGATAAAAAAAGCTGGAAAGGATGACCACTTTGAGAAAACTCCACTTGGGCCTTAGGATGTTTCACGTTACTTTATTGTCACTGCACGGCCCACGCGGGCACGTCAGCACTCACATGTATCTATAAAGCCGATACATGGATTGAAGGACCGCAGGTGGCAGAAACATTGCAGTTTTCGCTGCAGGATCTCATAAGAACTTTTTCAGGTGGATCCTACTAAGCACGCCGGAATAGACCCTAAACCCCCTGCATCCCCGGTATTACACAGAATTCTGAGCTTCTGAGCTCTGCCAAGAACCCTGAACCAGGAGCACCCATGAGGACAAGATTAAACAACATCAGCAGGCTTGAAAAGTCCGTATGTTCTCGGAGAACGAAGTTGTGGAAAGTATCCAGCAATCAGCAAGCTAGGCAGGTTTCCGAAACACCCGTGTTACCTGTAATGCTATAAAGAAATGCAGGTTCTGACCTGGTTCTGACTTGAGTGTTTTCCTAGATAGTCAACTCTAAACCCCACACTCTAAACCCTAGATTCCCTACGGTATTGGGATAATATTGGGATAATGTAGGGTTATATAGCGATTATGGGTAGTCCCTCTGAACCCTAAACTCTAAAGTCAACAAGGCAAAGGATCAAAGCCAGGATGGATCCCCGCTCCCCGGTCTCCTCCTGCTGCGCGTACAAGGAAGGCCGCAAACAAGCAAAGGGAACCGTAGGGATCCAAATAGCCCAATGTAGGTAATATCTGCAAACTTTAGGGCCCGACGTAGTAGGTATAAGTTGTATACTTGGACCCCTAGGGGAAGTGTAGGACGCAATCATCTGGAGGGGATTTATTACAAGTGTTACAGCAGCATCAGCAGCATATGGTAGTTTCCCAAAATAATCGACCCAATATACACCCCCAGTATACTATATTTTGGGGACCCCAAAATGGTTCCCCCTGTAATTTTGGGAAACCCTAATCCGCATAAAGCACTATGTACACCCCAGATTCCATTTAATTTTCCATTGTCTTTTGCATTTGATTCTCCATCCTTGGAAGCGGCAAAATCCCTCAAAATGGCTCCCCTTATATGGAACCCTGAACGATAAATCATCCTGTCAGTAAAACTCATGCCCACGCAGCCTAGTGTGATAGTCTTAGTTCATGTTTTGCACTTTCTGGCAGTGATTCCGTTATCCACACGATGGCACGAAGGCATGGTGCACCGGGCATGATGACACTGATGACACGGGGACTTCCTTCATGAACACGCGCAGGAAATCGCACTTTGGGAACCTCTGTAACCTGATTTGCTTGCTTGTTTCCCTGTGGCATGTAGCCTCTCACGTTGACCCTACATTGTGGCGAAAAACCAAGATGAGGGGCCATGCACAAATCCCTTTTGCCAGCATCTGCAGCTAGGTGGAGGCTTATCGCCAGGGCCGAGAATGTATTGTAATGCCCTTGCCGCTGGCAACGCCGGAAGGCTCCTGCCCCTTGCCTTTGCCACTTCCTTTGGGGGCTCTGGCATCCCCACCTTTGTCTTGGCCCTTGGCAGCTGTGGCTGATGGCTCTTGAGCCACAACAGCTGGCTCCTGCGCCGTACCTTTGCAACTTCCTTTGGTAACTGTGCCAGCTCCCCCTTTCTCCTGGCCCTTAGCGGCTCCTGTTGCTGCTGGCAAAGGCGGCCCTTTGTGAAGGCCTTTGGCTGGTTTTCCCAATCCCTTTCCCTTGCCTTTAGCTGCGAAGCCTTCCCAAGGTAGCGGTGGTCCCTCGGCAGAAGGGATAGGCTGTTTGCCTCCCCAAAATATGACAGAGCCATCCCCAAGGATAGCCCCAAAAGCAGCATCGGAGGATTGGATCTGCTTGACGTTTCGAAGCTGGTCGCAAACAGAACTACTGTCGCCACCATGCAGGGAGGAACCCCAGGTCACCACTGTTCCTGGATTGGTTGAAGGAAATCACTAGGAAAACGTGCATGCGCAAGGGTAAAACCCCCCTAGTGATTCCTCGTGATGGCCCTCGTCAAAAGGAAACATGTACAACAGTTCTAAAGGCCGTGCCCAGGTTCCATCTTTGAGAATTGCAGCGAAAGCTCGGCTGGAGGCCTGGATAGCCAGCACATCCTTCAGCTGATGCTGTACCACTTGGCTGTCACCTCCTGACCTAGAACCACCCCATGTCACGACTGATCCATCTGCGAGGATGGCAGCGAAAGCGCCATGTGAAGCTTGGATCTGCTGCACATTCCTCAACCTGTCACGCACAGATCTGCTATCCCCGCCATCATCTGGGTGGCCCCAAGTCACCACGGACTCATCACTGAGGATGGCGGCAAAAGCCGAAAAGGATGACTGGATCTGCTGCACTCCCTTGAGTTGATCCTTAACTCCGCCACTCTCACCGCCATACTCAGGACTTCCCCATGTTACCACAGACCCATCACTAAGAATTGCGGCAAACGCGCCATGTGAAGCTTGAATCTTTCGAACGTGCTTGAGGCGTCTCTGGACAGGACTGCTGTCACCGCCATGTTCGGAATCCCCCCAAGTCACAACGAAGCCGTCGCTGCGGAGAGCAGCAAATGCCCCAAAAGAAGACTGTATGTGCTGTACATTTACCAGTTGATGTTGCACAAGACTGCTTTCGCCGCCACAGTGGAACTCGCCCCAGGTCACGACAGTCCCATTCTCACGTATGGCAGCAAAAGCGGCATGTGAGGCCTGGATCTTTTGCACATGCTTCAGTCGATGCTGGACAGCTTGGCTGTTCCCTCCGTATGCGAAGGTTCTGGAGTCTCCCCATGTTACGACGGACCCATCCGCGCGGATGGCTGCAAAGGCACCATGTGAAGCCTGCACCTCCTTGACACCCTTGAGCTGCTCCTTCAAGGCGGTGGAGCCGCTGTAACCTCCGTATCGGCGTTCTCCCCAACTCACAACCTCGGTTGCTGTTCACGAACTTATATTAAGTTACAAAAAAAGTTATTATTCACTGGTTTACTATATACACATATTGTGCTAAGTCAATTTAAGTTTCTTAACAGCAGCCCAGCAACCTGCCCAGTGTCAAGGATGGCCGCGAAGGCCTTGCTGCTGGCCTGAAGGTTTCGCACGCCACTGAGACCCTCCCCTTTGAAGCAGCCATCAATGCTGAGCGATTGAACTTCCAAGGCAAGTTCCATGTCCGAGGGGCGGCTGCTGCCGCGCGCAACATCAATCCAAGTTTCAACAGATCTGTCTCCAAGTAAAATTGCAAAAGCGTGCTGCGAGGAGACCACACTAATCTCACGCAAGAAGAGCGTCAGAACATCCCCCGGCTTTAGACCAACTTCCTTCAAAGACGCGGCTGCAGGAAGCGTCTCCCCAAGTGAGTTGAGCAACAAGCCCCTTCCAGCTTGCAAAGCCTTCTGCGCTTGGGTTTGTAGCTCTTCAACCTTTGTGTCCAGGTCGGTGGTGATCTCTACTGACTTGCCACTTAAGAGTGTGACTTCTAAAGAGACCGGCGCCATGGCTTCTCGGGCTCAACAGAGTGCAAGGGCCCAAGAAGACTCAAACTACGCTGTGGCTGTCAACCTGATGCGCTATGGGTATGGATGGTTGTCAAAAATCCCAATGCAGACTGGATATCTGCAACAGCTGAGGCAGGATTTCAGCTCTGGCCCCAAAAGTACACCTCATTTCTATCCACACCCTATAAGCCTAAACCCTATTGTGCCCAAAAAAAGGAGCCCAATAGAACAGCAGCCTGCTTGAATACCCTGGCATCTCCTAAGCCGCTATTTGAGGAGGCATGGGAGGCTTCAGGGTTTACTGTAGGCTGTCGGGTGTAGGGCGGCCTTTCAAGACTCAAACTGCCAGAATCTCTTCTTATGCACCGCATTGAAGGAATCCATCAACCCCAAGCCTTGGGCACCGGTAGCAGTCTGTAAATGGGCTTGACATTAAGAGCTCTCTCTTTCTCTCCCCAGCGGTTTCCGTGAACTGCCGCATGGCTACATGCATCTACACACACATATACATATGTTCATCTGTTCATCATCTACATGCTGATGGGTAAGAGCAGTCCCCAACACAAAGCTTAGAAATTCCCGCCTTCAGAGCCGCAAAGAGCTGCCCATAAGAGAAGAAGGTACCAATAGTCACGGCCTGGATCGTAAAGGACACGAAGACCACAGCCTCACTGTTTTGTATCTACCTAGACCTCCCAAATACCCATGATAAAGGCCTTGATACCCAGCATTTGGGGTGAAAGGCCTTCATTCTTGGTATTTGAGGGGTGCAGGTAGGGTTGTCTACTGGCTGCTGCTGGGAACAGTGGCCAATGCGCAGGCTCAGGTACTAAGTTCTAGTGCAGGGAGATCCTGGCTCGCTTTTGATACGATTTAGGGTTTAGGGTAACTCACCACAACCTTCAAGGAGAAGCCTTCTGACCTCCTCACAGCTATCTTTAGGTTCCAATAAGCTGTGTTTTTTTTCTCAAGCGCCTCCGTCAAGACTCATGACATGATCTTGGAGGAGAGGCTTGAAATTCCTGCGATGGAATCTCTGGAATGCCTGCAAAACAATAGGACTCCCAACGCCAAGGAATGCAACGTTTTCAGAGTTCCCAAGCTGCCAGCGCGGAGTAAGGGCTCACGAAATGATAGATAAGCCTAGACCTTAACTGTAAGAATATCTGAACAAGAGTCAGGGGTTCCAAGCTCCTAGGTTCTGTTCATCCCGAACACAAGCTCATCATGAATCAAGTAGCACACAGCTGCGCACGACCCAGCGTAGCCATGTCGCGGCCAGCGCCCGTATGAAGAGACCGCTGACGCTTGTTCTCAAAACTTTGGGACTAAAAAAGGCCAGGGAGCCATCAAATGCCTGCAATGCATGCTCCACTGCGGGTCTAGGGCTTCAGACTCCTTCTGACTTCCATGCAAAATCACACCTTCCTCGCGGATCGCCTACACGAAGCAGGACTGCAGCACCCCTCGAAGCCAAGTCTGTGTCAAGAACAGCTGCAAGCTCATTGGTTCTAGATGGTTGTTTGTCAGCCCTACTACACCCAAAAGAAAACCACATGAACTGTTGGGCGTTCGGCGACTTCCTAGACCCACAGCGTCTGCGTTGTTTCATGACCTGGGGGTTCACCTCTACAGAAGGAGCGCGATTCCTCAAACCATTTTCCTGAAGAAAGCTAAAAACTGCCGATGTATGACGGCGTGCGTCCTCGGAAGAAACAGCGGGGCGTGTAGGGCATGTTGGACTCCCCAAGCTTCCTGCGACCCTACAAACCTAGGAAACGCAGACCATTTCTGAACACAAAGAGCTGACTTCTGGGTCTGTCTACACAGGATCCACAACAAGTTGTGGGGTCGCGCCCAACGACGTACGGTTGATACTAAAGATCCTGCATGACCTGACTATGTTATACCACAATTGCTAAGCTGCTAAGGTTTAGGGCACGTAGGGTCATGAAGGATTTTTCGCATCCACCGTATTAGGAGGGAGCGTTGCTCCTCCATGAATCCCCTATGAAATTGGAAATTCTTGTCGCGTCCCTTTTCCAGGGAAGCTGGCAGGTGAACCATGAAGTTTCTTCGCCCACCCAACTGCCTTGGCCCCTAAACCCCCCAAGCTATGTGAAATACCCTGGACCCTAAGCAACGCAATGAGGTTCTGCTGCTCTGCAGCGAGAGGACACCCCCATCAGTATGCCTGAGAAATCTTCTGTTGCTCTGGGCCCTACACCCCAAACCCTGGTGATTTCCCAAACTTTGAATATTGCCCCAATAATGGAGAACCAAATGGAAAAGAGCATGAACAATTACATGGAAACTGGAATCATGTAATCTATTATAGTAGCATTATAGTAGTTTCCATTTTCTTTTCCATTATCCCTATATTACCCCAATATACTCCCCTTAAACCCCCTATACCCCTTATTACATCTGAATAACCCTAAACCCTAAACAACCCTAAACCCTGAACCCTAAACCCTCAACCCTAAACCCTAAACCCTAAACCCTCTGCCTTCAGGACCATCTCGGCCGTGGACCCTGGGAGGGCATTCTCGTCCTCCAGGTCAGCGGCGTTCACGGCGATCACAATGTCCTTCGGGAGCACACAGCAGTTGCATGAAGTCTAAACTCCTTAGAAGGGGGGGTATATAGGGGATTCTATAGGGCATTGCTATGGGGGTTATTAAGGGGGCTATTAGGAGTTTAGACTATAGCTTCAATGGTAGTTTCCCAAAATAGGGGGACCCCAATATAGACCCTGAAATACTGCAGTCCTTATTATAGGGACCCCCNNGTACCCCTAATTTTGAGAAACTCCCTTATTGAGACCTTATGCAGGGTCTGGAAGGTGCTTATTTCTGATGCGGTGACAGAATTGATACTTCGGGTCTACCGGGCTTCTGGGGCTCGAAATGGCAGACGGTAGCTCTGTTCTGCAGGGCCGTTTCCTGTGCTTCTGTAGAATGCACATGATAAAAACGCGATTTGGTTCCAAGGTAGGGCTTCAGCCTCACAAGGATTGGACATCTAGACTACGGGTTCCATTTTGGGGGGGATGGATGCACAGAATGAGTTATGGCGTTTCGAAGAATATCAGGTGGATCCCGATTTTTGGAAATAACTGAGAGACGTCCTAGGAGCACTCGAAAGCCCCGGCTCACGTTTTAAAGGGATTCAGGACTGGTGGGCTTACAGGTGGAGCTTAATTAAAGGGAGAGCCTCGTATCAAGCTTGAAGCTTTAGGCTTGCAGGGTTCATGCTTGTGCGCGCTCCAAAAGTTGCCAGCTCTGAGGCACAACAAAAAATCGCAAGCGACCATGTCCGATGCGCACGCGACATGTGATTGGAATCACCCCAGCACACTGGATCTGAACACGCACTAAATAACAGCCTCTGCTTTTGGACTTCTCACTGGGTTGGCCAAGAACGCATGAAATTATTCAGAACTGCCCCTTGGGGCACCAGGGAAGGGCTTTTCACGGTATGGAGCCTTGAGGCACATGGCGGTTGTTCAAAATTCC